CATAGTCCAAGAAGGACTCAAGAAGTTAAAAAAGATCACATCTTAAAAAGAGGGAAGCGAATTCCTCTAAGGTAAGGCATCTCACACGAGTGGGATGTTCTTCTCCTCCTTAAGCTCTTCCCATGGCCTTTTCTCCCACTAGGACTCTCTTGTCCCTTCTTTCTTGGACTCTTCTTCATGTTGTCAGCTGTCTAAAACTTGTAAGACTCAGATTCATGTTTTCTAAGAGGAGATAAACTCGTAAAGGAGGAGAATTCCTCACAAGTTGAGGAATCTCGCATGGGTGAGACACTCATCTTCCCCAAATTCTCGGCCATATGTTTTTGGTCTAAAATTCCACAAAGTCGCGAGTCTTCTTAGTTTTTGGGGCATTTTATAAATTTTCTTAGGCCTCCAAGATTGTTTTCATTAACAAGATGATTGGAGGTTTGTTGAAGCCTTTTGGGTTGGGTTCTTGAGGTTAGGCTTAAGGACCTTTGAATTCTTTTTCTAAGATTCTCAAACTCATCTTTTTGATAGATCTCTGTCTAGTCTTGATGTTGGATCATTGGAGAAATCATATTGGGTCTGGTCTCTTTACCATTGGACTCCTTAAGCGCGTAGGAATCCTTAAGAGCATAAGAATCCCTCTCATCGAGGGATTCCTTCTTCTTGTGGAATTCTTCTCGTAGAGGGATTCCTCCTTCCCACGAGATTCATTCTTGCTGAGGATTCATTCTTAGTTTAGGAATACGTCATCCCGAGGGTTGCCTTGAACTCACGGGCCCCTCATTGCTTGCAGGGTGTCCTACCTCCTAGGTTCACATCAATAGTGGAGGTAAAGGAGAAGGAAAAGAAAACAATAATGGATAATAATAAAAAGTGATGGGGTTAAAAGCTTTCAAATAAGAGCTTAAGACACATGAGGTATCATATTTTCTATTATTTCTTTTACATTGCTGTAATACTTTTTGCAGTTTCTATCAATCATCTTTTATAGTCATATTAGCTTGTTTGAGCTTGAGTATTTTACTCTTGCACTTTTTACGACTAATTTGACTAGTTTTACTTTTCTTGTATATCTTTTATTTTATCTTTGCGTTATTAATATATACATTTATCTATATAAAGTAATATATCTCAAAAGTTCAAGGGACACTTTTGTGTTGTCTTATTCTTTAAAGGTCCAAACATGACTTAAATATTTTAAGTTTTTTAGAAAATGAGAAAAATTAAATGTTTGAAACAAGTATAAAATGTTATGGATCAAATTGTAATGAAAAATATATTATAAAATAAATTATAATAAGTGTTAAATTTTGAGGGATTAATTTGATAATTTATTTTTAAAAATACTGTGATATTTAATGGTATTACTTGTATATATATATATATATATATGCAGATTTCATATTTTTGGTGGAAAAAAGAATTGGTAAAAAAATAAAATGTTCTTTAACTCTTTTTTTTTTAATAAAAAATTACAAAAATTAAGAAGTTAGAAATTATAAAATTTTAAAACTTGTTTAAAAAGACAATTCTACTCCAATTACTGGCATGATAAAAATAATCTTGACCCATTATATATCAAGTAATTTATTATAATTGATTCTTGTATTTTTTAAGAAAAAAATTGAATTGAGTCGAGTCATATTTAATTAATTTATTTTTAGATTAAATTACATTATATCAATTAATATTGTTAATATTTAACTTAGAATATATACAATATATTTATATATATATATATATTAGGTTAGAATTGAAAAAAAAAAAATTAAAACTAACAAAACAATTTATAGTAATCTCCATCCACCTTCCCTATATTTTTGTTTTTAAATAAAAATATGAAAACAAGATACAAAATTTAAGATAAAAACCTACGAGTTTGATGTACGGTGACTGAAGTTTTGCAAAACAGAGATTCGCACCTTGTATTTTGGGAAGAACTCACCAGATCTTATCCCTCTCTCTTACAGACCGGTTTTCTCGGTCTTTCTTCGGCTTTCCTCTGTTATTAATCTATCTTTCGTTAATTGGCATGTCAGCCGCTATTAAAGCCATGGGGCGGCCAACAAACTAGGGCTTTTCGGCTCTGCTTTCAACAATAGGTTTGTATTGTATTGTATTGTCTTCATTCATAGCTCTTCTTCATTGCCTCGTTACTTCGTCCTTAATTTTGCGAATGATTGAATGTTCCTTGTTTTTGTTTGTCTCATCTATCTAATGAAAATTCGTGGTTTTTGGAGGTCTTAATCGTTAGGCCTCTGTCTGGTTGCCGAGTAAGTGTAGTTAGAGAAGAGAGAAATCAAACTTGAAAACTTGGGTGCTTTATTTTATTGGTTTTGTTGAGAATGATAATGGTTACTTACCCTCCGTTGGTAATCTTTCTTCATGCATATTTGGGTGAGCTTTTTAGTTATTATGTATTGTCTTGAAGAGTTCTGTTTTTTCTTTTATTGCACTGTAAGTTTGAAAATTTTAGTTTTTATGGAAACTTGCTACTAGATGATGGTTATATAGAAATGGAAATTTGGCTATTATTTTCTTATTTAATTTTGCTATCTGCAGTTTCTTATTGTTCTTGGTTCTTGTAACCTGAATCTTTTATTAAGTTTAAGAAGATTGAATACTTTTAGTATTGTCTTTCACAATGGTGTGTGGCTAGTATTTTGGATACACTTTGTTCTTTATCATGTTTTTTTTTAAAGATAATTTTTTAGTTCTATGTGCGAGATTTCTTTTTCCTTTCTTCTTGACTCCTAGGCTTGGAACAAAAATACAATTTTTATGAAATTCAATTTGATGTGTACTCTATGTCCGAGCATGGGAGGAAGAAAACCGGGGATTTAATTTTGAGAGAATTTGAAATATATATGTTAATTCTACTTGGAATCCATTTGGACTTGATATTTTATCCTCTTGGAGTTGTTTTTTTTTCCTCTTCGCCCCCTGCCCATCTTTCATGGTTTAAGAAAGTACATTTGAATTCCAGTCATTTGTTTCAAACATATCCTTAAGGCTGTTTAATTTTGGGTTTGAAGGCTTGAATCATTTTTTTTCCATTCTTTTACTTGGATTTCATTTCCATTTTGGATTTGATCATTTTCACAAAATATCATTTTCATCCTCTCAAATAAGTACTACATCTGTTTTAGTTCCTTATCCCCATGCCATTTTTGGCTCACTTGGAAAGAGAAGAAGAATAGAGCTTTTGAGAATTTCTCTTCCCCCTTTTCTTCAATATCCTTCATATATGTTAAAGGGCTGCTCTCTTCATGATGGGGTTGATTTTGTTAATCTTGTAGTGAAAATTTGTAATTAAATTTTCTGTTTATTGAATTTTTATTTATAAAGAAAATTAGAGAGAATTTTAATAGAAAATTAGATACAAATTAATCCTATAAAATAAAAAGACTTTCTAATTAGGAAAGTCAACTAAAATTCTACTTTATAAGGAGATTTTTCTAACTATATCAATCTGTATAGAAATTAGACTTTCACATGAAGTCAGATTCCTATGCTTGCCTTCAAGTTTGTTTGAAGATGTTGAGTAAACCAAACTCGGAGCTCAATTTTTTGAAAGTCTTCCTAGATAGTACTTTGGTGAAGATGTATGCGATTTAATGACAAACTTGAATGTGTCACAAGGATAGTGCTTCTAATTATGTTTTTCCTTTAACAAAGTGTCTACTAATCTTCATATACTTAGTTTGATCATAATGAACTGAGTTCTTTGTTTATTTATTGTAGATTGATTGTCACATAATACTTTCATAACTTTAAAGAGAGAATTCTTAATTCATTCAATGCCCTTTGTAGCCATATTGCTTCACAAATACTCCGTGGTAAAGTTCTAAACTCAATCTCAGCACTATTCCTTGATACCATTGGCTGCTTTTTGGTTCTTCAAGTAATTAGATTTCTTTACATATATGTACAATATCTAGAGATAAATCTTCTATCAGTCATAGAACCAGTCTAATCTGCATTAGTATATAGTTTAATTTATTGATTTCTATTTTTTTTTTTAAAATAGTCATTGTCCAATTCTCATTTTTTGATAGTTGAAAATCCAAAACACTAAGTTCCATAAGTTCTTCAGTTGAGTTATTCATGAATTGATTTACCACATTGACGTTTTAACTGATATTTGGTATGGTATGTGAGAGGTTAATCAGTTTACCCACTAGACGTTGGTATCTTTCTTTCTCGTTTGGATTACTACCAATTTTACTTCTCAATTTAATGTTGGGATCAATGGGTGTGTCTGTGGGCTTGTATTCAAGTATTCTAGTCTCTTTTAGAAAATCCAACATATATTTTTATTGAGAAACTAAAATTCTTTTGCTTGACCTAGTAATTTTTATTCCCAAGAAATGTTTGAGATTTCCTAGGCCTTAAATGTCAAATTCTTTAGTTAAAACCTTTTTTAGCCTGAGTATCTCATTTGTGTTATTTTTTGTAATTTTTTGATTTATATATATGATGAGGATTGCCATTTTTATTGAAAGATCATGCTTAACAAACATAGCATGATCTATTTGACATTTATTATACCAAAATCTCTTGATTGCATTGATGAATTTATCGAATCATGCTCTTGGAGGTTGTTTGAGTCCATACAAGGACTAAATGTGTTAACTTTTAAACCTTGGTGGTACCTTTATATAGACTTTTTCCTCCAGTTCTCTAGTTAAAAATATTCCTCACATTTAATTTGTATAATAGCCAATCCAAATTGGCAGTTAGGAATATTTGTATCCGAAATGTGTTAAGCTTTGCTATTGGTGCAAATGTCTCTTGATAGTCGATTCTTTAGGATTAAGTAAAACCTTTGACTACTAGTCGGGTTTTGAACTTGTTAATACTACCATCAGTATTGTGCTTGATTGTGAATACTCATTTACAGCTGACTAGGTGTTTCCCAGGTGGTAATTCTACTATTTCTTAAGCTTCATTCTTTTTTAATGCTTGGATCCCATGATTGTAGTTCTCTATTTGGGTACTTTTAATGCTTCATGTATCATTCTTGTCATCTGTATTTTATCAATATTGCTAACAAATGTTTGGTAAGTTGATGACAAACCTCTAATGAAAGAAAATTGTGAATTGGATGATTAGTGGATTCTTTTTTTTTGTTTTCTTAAAGCAATAAGTCTATAATCATATGGATTATCAGGGGAGAGATCTGAATTTAGATTACATGAAGCATTTGATGATGTTGTATCTGGATTCAGATTAGATTCATAACTTTGATTAGGTGGTTGTGACTCTTTGATGTGAGCATGGATATGTACCATAAAAAGAAGACCAAATCCAAAAGAAGAGGAAAATAAGTCCAACAATCTAAGAATATAATAGTACTTGCATCTCAATGCAAGTGAAAGAGGGAATCAAGCAAGAAAAAGAAAAACTTTTAAAGAATCAAATCTCAGCTGAAAAGGAAAGATTATGGCCAACCCTAAACTTCCATTTATTTTTTCCCTAATTTTCTACAATCAATTAAAATCTTCTTCATTTTAAAAATTTTTTCCAAAAGGGAAGATTCTATCCAGTCTAATTAGTTAATTTTTTTTTTTTAATTTTTATTAATTTTTCAATTAAAGTAAGATTTAATTTTTACAATTAATTTAGAAAATTTATTTTCTTGTATTGCTCATGACCTTACTCTATAAATAAGCCTTTAATTTCTAGTTGTAACCATTAAATATTAAAATCAATAATATTGTGAGTCTTATTCAAGAGAGGTGCCTTTATCCTTCTTGTTAAGCAGGAAGTGAATCTACTTATCAAGATAATTTCTCGTGGCATTCTTCAATTCTTTTAATCGTTTGTTTTCCAGTGATCTTAATTTCTATAATTATTTATAAATGGTTAAGTAGGAAAAGCTTTCATAGGATCAAATTCCTTTGGTGTCTTGAATGAAATTGTGTGACTTTTTGATCTAGTTGGTTAATTTTGTGTTCCGCATCACTCTTTCTCTTCTTGGTTCTTGTTCTTTCTAATGTAGACCGAAAGTTCAGGTGTTTTAGTATGGTGAGTAGGTTCAGGTATAAGTGTCTCATCTCAATCTATGTGTCCTGGAGATTGAATAGGTTTAGTTAGAGGATGATGAAGATATTAAATATGGTAGAGTTCCAAAATTGAAATTTTTCTTTATTCTTCTTCCTCTGAATAGCAATTTTGTAGTACAGTTGGTTTTCATGAAAGGTGATATCCATGGAGTTACAGTACTTCTAATGATTGGTGAATACCATTTATATCCTTTTTGGTTTGATGAATATCCAATAGAGATGCATTTTATTGATTTCAAGTATAGTTTGCTAATGTGATGTTTGTGTATGTGAACCAAGCTGAACAATCAAAGGTTTTGATAGACAAGGTAGATAGAAGTCAAGTGGTAGGAAAAATTGGAGTATAACTTGGTAGGGTATTTGAAACTCAAGAACCAGAGAAATCATACTATTAATAAGGTAAGTTGTAGTTAGAGCAGTTTCTTCCTAAAAAAATTTTTGAACTTGAGTTGTGAACATAAGGGAGTGGACAACTTTCAGAAGATGTTTATTCTTTTTTTCGGCTATCCCATTTTATTGAGGAGTATCAACACATGAGTTTTAATAAACATTCTCTCTGTTTCAAGATACATACCCAACTCTTTTTTAAAATATTCTTTTGCATTATTTGTCTTTATCACTTATTTTTTTGTCTTGAATTGAGTTTGGACCATATTGTTAAACGCCATCGAATATTAAAAATATTGTTGATTGTAGATGGGAGTAGACATCATTATGCGCTATATTAAACGGTTTAGAGGCTTTGTGGGGCAATTGGATGTGGTACGAGTATGTTTTGACAATACTTCATAATGAAAGTTTTTTGAATTTTTTAATTTCCAAAAAAAATTTTTAAATTTTTATTTATGAGTAAATAAAGGAATAATTTTTGAAGGTACAAAAATTTTTAGTGTCCTAATTAACAGTGTCATAACATAATTGTACTAAAATTATTTAAGTAAGTTGGATTATCTTGAGTCTGAACACATACTGCATTATGAGATTATCACTTGAAAAATTCATTATCCTTGAGAAAAGAGCTCAGAGTGCAACTTTTTTATTTGAAATAAAGTTCAGAGTACAACTTATCATTCTAGATCGTTCTCCTTGAATCCAAATCCTAGAATTCACATAATTTTGAGGAAAATTTAGTAACATTTATGATTTTGGATAAGTTTGCTTACCGACAACAAATTTCTATCCAGATTAGGTACATCAAGTACCTCTTTCAATGTTAACTTTTTTGAGATGGAGATATCCGATCAGAGTGAGATCCATATGCTGTAACGACTCCGTAAATATCAAAAGGAAATATATAATAACTTAAGTATGAAAGCGAAATGAAAGGTTAAGGTTTACATTCCTTACACAATAACTTAAAAGTACTAAACAATATTACGGAATTTATTTTTTGAAAAAAATACGAAAAATAAGGAAACAAAAGGAAAATAGAAAATATCTAGTATCTACTCGTAATCTTCTTGCGGATCGAGATCTGGAACCTGGTCCTCTTGATCTGAAATGTTTAAATAAAGGATGAGTTATACTAGCGCAGTAAGAATATCATACTATATCACCGACACAGAAGTAAAGATTGATATAAAATCGAAAACCACTAATGGAGCATTAAAGTTAGCAAATTCATTTATCAATCATAAAATCATTTCTTGTTTACTTATCATAGTGGAATTTTATGAAAACAACCTGTAAAAACAATAATATAATACAGATCAATATTTCATGCATGATCAGCCATCATAGTACATATTATAAATTCATATCCATTATCAATAAACCCAACAATAACTACCACTCTTTTCACCAGTCTGCTGGTATCCATGAGAGTTCATAAGGATGCCCCCGCTACATGTGAACTCTTTCATTTATCATTCTCAATTATGGGCCGTTTCCATACCCCGTCCGGTATGAGTTCCAATTTACCAAACCTTAATACCCCGTCTGGTATGAAGGTGAAGCGGGCCGTCTCCATACCCTGTCCGGTATGAGTGCCAAATTATCAAGTCTCCATATCTCGTCCGGTATGAGACAACATTCACGGTAGGGTTCTCTATGTACTCGGTTCGTCCACTATTTCTCAAGATATCCAGTAAGATTGTCGTTTCATATAATCATTTAATCACACAATTTCTTTACCGTTTAAACTTCATTTTTCCCTATTCAACAGTAAACACGTAAAATAAACCATACATGCATTCAAATGTATAAAATAAATAAATAAAATACCATTATGCAGGTAAACTGTAAAAACAATCAACAACAGCAGTAGATAACTTCCGGTTCCGGCTCCATTAGCAATCCGTTATTAATTATGCATGTTTACTAAAATCGCACAAAATACCATATTATTATTTATTTAAACTTCAGTTTTATGATAGAAAATAGGGTGAGGGATCCTTACTCGATTTGACGCCCGAAAAGCTAAACTGTTTACTGCTCCTACGGGCGGTCTCTGTATTCTCTGAATTTTTCTTCGGGAATTGAAACGCGCTAATAGCACCTACAAATATTCCAAATAAATCCAAAATCAGTCTCAAGGCCCACTCAGACAATTTTGCAATTCTGGCACAGCAGCTTCGCCGTGCTCCGGCGACGGCGCTGCCGCCCTCGGCAGCGGTCCGTCTTGAGTCGGCCGTTTTTGGCCGAATTCAGTCGATTTTGTATCGATCCCTATGAGAAAACACGTTAAAGTGTCTCGATTGGCCGAAAAACACAAAACATCGAATTTCACCGGTGGTGGGACTCTTCAGTGCGGCGGCTCTTCCGGCTCACGTTGCGGTTGGGTGTTTTGCTTTGGTCAACCTGTAGAGAAGAAAACGGTGTGATCAACGGTGGAAAAATTATGCGAAACGGGAATCGAGAAGGGTCTCATTGGAGGCATTTTGTGAAATTCCCCGCGGCGGTGCTGCTGAACTTCGCTGATGTTTTTCGGCCAATTGACCGCTCTTTTTGCTTCAATTTAGCTATGGGTGAGCTTAAAATTGAATTTCGTGCAAAAGGAGAAGTTTTTATTTTTTTTGGCGGTCGGAAACGGTTCCGGTGCAGCGGCGGTCGGCTCCCTGGCTGTTGGGTCGTCTTCTTCGGTGAGGGATTCTGGCAGCTAGGGTTAGGGTTTGGTGCGGATGGGAGTTATTTATATCCATCCATTTTTGATATGGGCAGTCCATCGCTTTTGATCTGAGTTGTCTATCGCGTTTGATCTGAACCGTTCGATCGCGACTAAATAGAGAGTGAATTTGGGCGATCCAATTTGGGCCGTCCATCGCGATTCAATCTGAGCCATCTGATCGTGTTTGAATCTGGCTGTTCGTTCGCGTTTGGAAGAGAGTGCATTCAGGCCGTTCGTGCACGCAGGAACGGACTTCAATCATTCGATCGCAGGCACATGGATCGCCCACGTGGCTTCCCGCGTTAGTGTCTCTGCCACTTGGTGCGTCCTGGTTGGTTAAGGTTCATGACCGGGCGTCTGATGTGGCGAAACTTTCCAAAATTGCGTTTTACCCTCTTTTTTTCGATTTTTCTTTCAAAAATACCATCAGAACCCAAATTTTCATCACTTTTTCCCAAAATTGTTTTCAATTAAATCATTCATCAATTTTATTTCATTTTTTGCTCTAAATTAAAATAAAAAAATAAAATAAAAAATAAAAAATTTATTTTATTACATTTAAAATAAAATCTTAAATTATAAAATAAAATTTTTGGGTGTTACATATGCTATTTTTATGGTGAAGTTCTTTTTATATGGATTATATTTTTGAAACAATGTTTTATTTTCCGTCACGTGATTGGATGCCCCTAAATCATGATTCAAGTATCTTGACTCTCTGAAATAGGATTAAACACATTAGAGGAATTGCCCTTTTATGTTGTTGTACCACATCGTATGTTGTTATTGATGAAGTTTTAATGTAGGAATATTTTTTGGAGGGTTTCTATATACTCTTTGTTTAATGGACATAATTCTCTAGTGGAGACACCTTCATTAATAGAGACAGGATTTTCCTTACTTTCTTTCTCTGTGGTTGATTTTATGGTATTCAAATAAGTTGATTTTCCATGAATTTTTCAGCAATTGTATCGAGTATGACATTTTTTTCTGTAACAATCACACCAAGGCCTTCTTTTTCTTTGCTGATTGTTTGAGTTGGGATGAGGGCTTAGGCAATCAAGACAGAGTTCTGCACGGTAGTAGGATTTGTGAATTTATCTGCCAACATCATGTTTTTTTTTTTTGCTTTCTTCTCTCCTTACTTCAAAAAAATATCTCATGAAGACAAAGTAATGGTTTTCAAGTTTTTTTTTCCGGATTTCATCCAAATTTTTATCCAATTCTCATATTCCATGAGAAGTTTAATTTTTTTTCCATTTTTTTTTTGGATACCGTTTTGCATCATTTGAACAATTTCATGCAATTTTCTCAAACACATCAAGCTATAGTAGGTTTTTTTTTTTAGATAAAAAGTGTAAATATATATAAACAGGATACCATCCATATACAAATTTACGAATTTGTTAGGGTGTCAATAATATCTCCAAAATTCTCATTTCTAATGATGTTATGACCCAACACAATGTTACTAAAATAATTAAACCATAACTCTCTTAGTCTATTAATATCTCTCTCAATACCATCAAACGCCCTCTTATTCATTTCTTTCCAAATAGCCCAAAAAAAGGTTAAAGGGATAAGTTTAACAATATTCTTTTTCAGGTCAATCCCACTCCAAGCCTCGATCTCATCAAAAACAGAAACAGGGATGACCCAATTGATTCCAATCAGTCTATAAATCTGGTACCATAAATCGTGGACCACCTCGCAGTGAAGAAGTAAGTGGCAGCAGGATTCCTCAGCCTTCTTGCACATAAAACACCCATTAACCACAATCTTGCCTCTAGTCTTCAGCTTATCAAGTGTCAATATACTTCATCTACGAGCCTCCCACTCGAAAAAAACAATTCTAGGCAGACACCTGGAAAGGAAAAAGGGGAATGTTATCCTGCCCAGTCCCCACCAACTGCCGATAAAGTGAATCAACCGTGAATTCACCTTTTTTCGATGGTTTCCAACGAATCTGGTCAGCTTCACCACTAATTTGACATTGTGAGACCAGCCTCAAAATCTCGTCATAATAAAAAACCTCCCAATCATTTAGATTTCTAGAGATGTTTACTGTCCAAGACAAACCTCCATTTTCCGTTGCATACGCCTCCTCAACTCTCATGTTTTTAGATTGTGCAATGATATATATTCTACGGAATCTGGTTTTCAAGTATCCTCCATCCAGCCACTCATCATGCCAAAACCTTATACAGTTTCCCCTACCCAATTTCCAGTTGATGCGCTCTTTTAAATCTCGGTATATTCTTCCATAAAGCCAGGCCATGGGCCCTGCAGTCACGGAAACCCTCCTCAGCAAAATCAAGCCTGCCCCATTTAGCAACTATAACCTTTCTCCTAAATCTGCCATCTTCCTTAAAGAATCTCCACAGCCACTTGCCTTGAAGAGCCCTATTTATATGAACCAAAGATCTGATATTCAAACCGCCCATGATTTGAGGTTTTTTAACTTTCAGCCATCTCACCAAGTGATACTTTCTTTTCTCAATACCGTCCCCCCATAAGAAGCGACATTGAACTGATTCCAATTTTTTTGCAATGCTAACCCGTATAGTTAGGGTAGTAAGATAGTATATTGGAATGATAGCAAGTGTACTTTTGATTAGAGTGTATCTTCCTCCTTTTGATAAGAAGTTCCTTTTCC